CACGCACCTGTAAGTGCTGGGATTGTGCCAGGCATGAGACCTACAGTGACCTGGTTCCTGCCTTCAGGGAGCTCGTAGTATAGCTCCCACCGGGCAAGGTCTTGGTTATTCTTCCATGTAGATTATGACTGGACACTGCCCAGCTTGCAGTGCCCCTTGGTGTTTAGGCCTAGACTTCCTGGTAGCCCTCCTAAAGCCTCAAGGCCATAATTCTCCTGGGGAGCGGAGAAGATAACAACAGATCATCCACTCCCCAGATTAGTGTGTGTGCCACTTACGGAATCCCCATCTTCTCCATGAGTGTGGAGGAGCCTTTTCCTTTCTTTAACTTAATTTTCCTGGGTAACTCACTTCAGTGTAGCTTAGAGCCCTTTGGTAGCTCCCAAACCAGGCCATAATGCATGAGAACTGGGTGTTCCCCACACCCACACAGGCCTGGTGATCACTAGTGCTGCCCCCAGAGAAGTGGTGAGCAGTGTGTGCAAACTGGCAGCTTGGCCTTGACACAGCGGGGAAGGGTCATACCGCGTGAATGCCGTCTTTCATGGCCACGGTACAGGGCCCCTATTTTTTTCTACAGAAACCCTTCACTTGCTTTCAGAAGTAACGATCAAATGTGAACTTTCATGGTTTATTTATAGCCCTGCCTTATAGAGAGAAAGAAAAGAAGTGATTAAAATGCAATTTTACAAAATATTTTGTTTTTAAAAGCTTTCATTGTGTGGGCAAAAAGGAAAGAGAAAAGTCACTGCATTCATTGTGCTGTCTAGACTCTCAAACAAAGAGGGTAGCGTGCTGCAAATTAAGATTGTCTGGCTCCTGCTTGCTGACAAAAAGTATGAATTTTGAGGCCAACTTCAAATAGACCTTTTTGAACAGAAATATATTGTGGGGGGTGACTATATTTAGCACGTGTCAGCATTTCCATAATAAATTCGTATTGTTATGCTGTGGTAATTTCCAGATTTACTGCAGCCAGTGGGTTCATGAGGTTTCAGTTTTATGTTAATGATTTGGAGAAATTAGAAAATTCAGCAGGGCTATTTCTGATGACAGCACTAATTCTCTGGGTGTTCTCCTCATTGTGTCAAATACCCACAATGAGCCCTGCCTCCCAAGAAAGAGGAGAGTAAGCACGAGTCATTTGGGCTGTCTGTTTAAGCATAACTTTGTATTTTAGAATGCAGTATATTTTTGTTTTCCTTACAATTATCAAATCCATATATGCTACTGTAGACAATTTAAAAAATACAAAAATACAAGTTAACAAGAGAAAAAATTATCCCCCATGCTCTTGAACCTGTTAACATTTTAATATATTTTTATCCAATGTTTATACGCATATGTAACTTGGGTTTAGAACAAACACAATTCTTGAGATAGAATTGCAAGAAAATTGTATTTTTTTATTCCCTCTGCCTCTTTACATTCCTGCAACTATTTTTTCTCTGCCCTAGTTAAAAATTCTGGTAGTTCCATTACTTTCCTAGATACGTACAAAGTCACTGAGACAATACAAGTCTTATGGTACCTTAAGTTGTAAGACATAGCCAAAATTCAGAAATTAGATTATCAAGGAATATATAATAATCATCCCTTCAATTTTCATCTCCTCACTCTTCCAGCTGGGTCTACTGCAGTGGAGAAGAGGCAGCTGTAATCAGAGTCTTCTTCCTTCCTCATTCACTTCCTCCTCAGTGTATAAGCTTTTTTTGGTGTAAGGGAAGAGGTGGGGCATGTAGGAAAATTCTTATCTGATCAGCACTGTCATAAATGGGCTTCATGCTGTCTTACCCTAATAGGTGTTTATAGTTAGGCTCAATAATAGATTTTGGGGAGGACCTCCACTTCTGGGAACCTCTCACTTACAATATCTTGTCCTTGTTAATGCCTTCTGTTCTAATAGATGACTTGCTGTCCTTTTAATTCCTTAGAAATCCAGTAGGTCCTCGCAAGCTGCTTTATGCAGACTTGCTCTGCCTAATTACATGGCCATATTGGACATTATCTATAGCAACCTTTGACAGCTATCTCACATGTGAGCTACCTAGAGTCTGTGGGAAACAGTTATGCCTTTTGGAGTCTGACGGACGCTGGTGGTGTTGGCTGATCTAAGTACTCCTTCACTTCTACACCGATTTGGCAGCCAACCCTTTTCTTCCAGAAAGGAGTCACACTCAAGTCATTGTGTCCCATAACCTTAGGGACACATACCAAGTTCTCTGGTGGTCTCAGTGAAGCCCTGCTCTTTTGCCTTGTGAAGGAGGAGACTCCTCTCAGCCCTCCCTTAGAAGGAGGCCTGATGTGCAGTAAACCAACAGCTGTCTCCTAAAAGTCCAGCTCTTTTTCTCATGTGGATGAAAGGTTTAAGAGTTGATTAATGGGTCCTCAACTACCCTTTTTACAAATTTTTCAGGGTGGTCTGTTTCCAGCTCACTTTAGTATCTTATATCTGTCATCCTTAGATCTCAGCCAAAACTTCCATTTTAGTGTTCTGTCGTATGTATGTTCATTCATCTCGTAGACATTCCCTGAATGCATACGATATACCAGATGCTGAGTTTGGCTATGGAAATAATTATAACAGTTCTGGTCTTAAGGAGTTCACAGTCTAGTTGGGGAGACTGATGTGCTAACAAAGAATTGCAATGCCCTGTCATAAATGCTGTGATAGGTGGAAGTACTAGTTGCTGTAGGAGCAAATAACTCCCTCTAGAAGGGAGGCAGGCAGTGGGATGAGTCAGAAGAAATCTCAGTGGGTCCATGCATGAGCTAAGTTTAATGCTTAAATCTGTACTTTTTTGAGAAACAAAATAACCTCATTTTAAACCTTTGAAATCTCGATTGCTGGTGTTTGTTTCTTAATAATTTATTTTTAAAACTAACAAAAGTAATGTGAAGAAAGGAAGAAGGAATTCCCAGTCTTTTGTACACACATCTGTTACAGTGGGAAGGGAAGTGACATTTATGGAGCATCTTCTATAATACAAGTTTCCAGGATCCCACCCAGGAAGGCAGTCCTGGAATGTTGTCTCAAGCCTGGGGCCTAAGCACAACCCGAAGGAGTATTCCCTGAAGACATTTTCAACAGTCAGAGGAGGGAGAGGAGGCTAGTTCCTCCCTACCTCACAGCAGAGCAGGACTCTGAAAATGTCCTTGTTAGGTGGAATGGCAGTGACATCACTAAGATGTGTTTGACTGCCCCTTCACAAAACAGCCCCACACTACCCCATTTTAGTTTCTATCCTTTCACCATGATTTCCTTTTCAATATTTTTTTAGAATTTTTTAAATCTCCTCACTAGAGGCTGCCATTTCTTTTCTGCTGTCAGTGTGTTTGCTACTGTGAGCATCCCTGAGCTCCCTCCCAGCCAACACTATTTAATCCATTGAGGGCAGATAACTAGTTCCAAATATTCTTGCCCATCATTGAGGAAGAGTTGATAGAACATATGTATAAGTGATTAGCGGATGAAGAAGCTTACACATTTCCTAACCCTTGAATAACTATTGAAAAAAAGTTTATCTGCTTCTAACAGTTATTTATCATACTCTAGTTTGATCATGGTAAATGTCTTTTCCATTCTATGGTGAACTTCTTGATGAGAGGACCTATGCATTCTTCATCTTTGTATTCCATTTATATTGAGTGCTGTACTTGGCTTTTAGAAGAATCTCGATGTTTTATGAATATTCTAGGTGCTGAGATTAAGAAGCAAACAGAAAATGCCCTGGCCTCTTATAGCTTACATTTTGGTTAGGCCAAGGGGTGGAGAGGGTAGATAAGGAACATATCGGCCAGTGAATACATGGCATGTCAGAAGAGGGTTAGAGGTAAATAAGGTGTGTGTGTGTGTGTGTGTGTGTGTGTGTGTGTGTGTGTGTGTGTGTGTGTAAATCACAGTAAGGTGGCAAGGATGGGCAGGGGCCACTTGCATGTTTTGAAAATACCCAGGAGCCTTCACATTCTGTGTGGCAGTCAGTTTTTACATTTTTTCCTTCCCTGCTAGCATTGAGTTTCTCTAGGACAAAGAGGGTGTCTTATGCAAATCTATGTCCCTAGCATAGCATCTGGTACATAGTGAGTAATTAATAAATATGTGGAGTAAGAAGTTGTACATGAGACCCCAGAATGACTACATCCTTAAGAATAAGATGTCAGTAATTGTTTCTAAGACAGGGCCTGTTCTGAGGAACTTTGTCATATTATTGCTTGTAGTCTCCCAGGTCAAGTCTGCTGAACGCCAAAGTATGGGTTCATTCCATTTCCCCTAACTTTCTCATAACTTTAACAGCATTGGAAGACTTCCCAAGGAAACCACACCATTTTGGTCATATAATGGGGCCAATGTAATCCATGGTTGATCTTGATGCTGTATACACCATGTCCACCCAGACATTGCAACTTGCTGTCTGCCCAATTATCTTACTATAAAAACAAGAATGTCCTAAAGTCACATACCAGAACTCAAGTCTAGACTTAGCCCAGAGATCCCATACCTGTACTCACAATTTCAAAGACTACTGGACAAAAGCTGAAGGCAAAATAAAGAGGTCTTAAATATTTTATCCTACAGTACAGGTGCAAAGTGAGTTTAACTCAGTTATTGTTATCTTGAGTTAAGCAGACAATATGCTTAGTGGCTGGTTATGTTGCCTTCTTAAGCCCTCGTGTCCAGGCAATGAGAAGGAGAAATAATTTCCTCCCATCACTCCCTGGGAGCGATCACAAAAGCTTCACTTTCTGGGCTATTTATGCCCTAGAGGCTTCAATATATAATCATTTATCAAGCCCCGGCTGTGTGATCATAAATGTAACTCTTAGTGTCCAGTTGGGTTTTATTCCCAACACTGGAGAAAATAAATTGGAAAAAAAAAATGGACTAACTGAATATCTTAAGGGGAAATGAATTCTAATTAGAATGTTCTTGCCTATGACAAGCCTCACTTCAGTTATAACTTTCCAACTCACCTCTCTGTGTTCTTTCTTCCATTTGACAGGAGGCAATGGCAAGAATGAGCAAAGTTGGGAAAGTTGTGTTTCCCAGACTTGAGGATAAAAGGTAAGTTTATTTTTTTTTTATATGCACAATGGTAAGGAATGAGAGCATACAAACACACACAACTTTAGAGCTGGAATAAACCTTGGAGGTCAGCTAATCCAGTCCTTTCATTTAATAGTTGATAAAACCAAGTCCCGGAGAGATAAAGTCACTTTCAGTTACCTACATAGATCACAGAGTTATGTAGGGCCAGACCTGGGGGTCAAACACACTTCTGAATATTCAGACCAATGTTCTTTTCCCTATATCATTAGCAGCAAATCTGGTCTATGTTCTAAAATGTGGATCTCTTTTATCTTCCACCAAAGGACACAGGAGCATCTGTCTGTTTTTTTGTTTTCTTCTGGTTTGGTTTTTTTACCCTTTGCATCGCTTGGCAAAGAGGGCTATATCATAACCTTGATCAGTATTTTAACCCCATGTCACAAAACACTAGTATATTGAACTCCTGCTGTATTCAAGGCATTATACTCATTAGCCTCTAGGCAGGATTTAGAGGGGAATAAGATACAGTCTTATTTATGCACAAAGATCATTTCAGAACAAAGGGTAAGTTCTACAATAGAAATATGACCAGGTGACAGAGTAGCCCAAGGAAGAAAGGAATGTGATCTACAGGGGTGAGGGAAAGCTTTTGAGAAGAGTTTAAAGTTTAGCTGACTTTAAATGCTTAAAAGAAATTGTCATGAGATAGGACAAGATAAGGAAGGACATACTTGGTATAGGGAATAACATATGCAATTATAAAGGTGAGAACAGCATGATATGTTCGTGTAACTATAAACCACTCATAAATCTGCAATACAAAGCATGAGATGGGGAATGGCAGGAAGTGAAACTGGGCGTGGAGGAATACACAGGGTCATCGCATAGGAGTTTGAGGCCATGCTAAAGACTTCAGACTCCATCCTACAGGCAGAATGGAGATACTGAATTTCTGGCAGTGGTAGGACCTGGTCAGATGCGAGTTTTAGAAAGATCCCTCTTACAGGATGAATTAGAGAGCCTAAGGGTAGAAGCAGAGAGATGAGATAGAAGGCTTTTTCAATCATCTAGATGAGAGATGAAAAAGATCTGTATTAAATCACCGGTATTAAGTTTAAAGATGAAGGGACAGTTGTGCAAAGGCCTTTTATAATTTTAGGAAAGTATTTGAGGTTAAGACATAAAAGCAGATTCTACCTTGTATAATGGATGGTCAGAGATGCTGATCCCACCAAAGCACAATCAGTATTTAACAGAGTTAGAAATAACCACAGAAAAAGCCATCCAATTTCTTTTCATTTTTTTTAAAGAATGTCTCCAAATGATGTTGGACTGTTAACCTCTGAATACAATCCCTCCTCTAAATACAGGGGTGAGAGGAACTGGCCCTTACATGGAGGAGCTTGACTCAGGAATCCTGCGAGATCTGAGTTCCCTATGCAGAGGAAGCCATAGGCTAGCAGCATCCCTCTTTTGTTGAAATTAGAAACATCGTTCTACCCCCTCCACCCGCCCCGTGTTTTTGTTGACCCTCCCAAGACTTTTGAGAGAAGTCTGCTTTTAAATTCTTTCAGTAAATCCATGTGTTCCTATTGCAAAGAATCCTTAGCTTCTTGCTGTCATCTGAGAGCCCTCCTCTGGGAGAGAGGCACACACAATGCTCTATCACCATCTGCAGGCTGCCTGAAGATTTGCAAGTAGAAAGGGAGCCAGTTTCCCTCTGAGCTACTCTCACATCTGGTCTCAAATCACATTATAAACTGTACAGAACATTTACTTAGGTCTGTACCACAGAGGAGAAACTGTGTGTAGGGAGAATTTGCAAGAGAGGGGATTTGGTTGATTTATAAGTCCAGATCAAAGAATAATATAATCTAGTGACTTTAATCTAGTGACTTTGTAGGAGGATCCTAAATTTTACCCTTATTCCCAGACTGAATTTATCTGCAGTCTTAGAGCAGTCACTTAAAAGTGTCATAGAAAATTTTATGCATCAAAAAGTATTATCAACAGAAAAAAAGGCATCCCACAGAATGGGAGAAAATATTTGCATATCATTATCTGATAAGCAATTAATCCAGAATATAGAGAACTCCTAAAACTCAACAACAGAACAACTCGAATCAAAAGTGGGCAAAGGATTTAAATAGACATTTCTCCAAAGAAGATATATAAATAGCCAATGAACACATGAAAAGATATTCAACATCGCTCATCGCTAGTCATTAGGGAAATGCAAATCATAACTATAATGATATATCACCTCGCACCCAGTAGGATGGCTACTATACATATATATTTACACACACACCAAGTGTTGACAAGGATGTGAAAAATTAGAACCCTTGCACACTCTTGGTAGGAATGTGTATAAAACAGTATAGTGGTTTCTCAAAAATTAAAAATAGAATTACCATATGATCCAGAAATTCCACTTCTGAGTATATACTCGAAAGAACTGAAAGTAGGGGCTCAAGGGGATATTTGTACACTCCTGTTTGTAGCAGCATTATCCATAGTAGCTAAGACATAGAAGTAACCCAAGTGTCCATCAGTGGATGAATAGATAAACAAAATGTGGTATATTACATATGTACAATGTAATATCATTCAGTCTTAAAAAGGAAAGATATTCTGACATATTCTATAACATGGATGAACCGTATATTATTCAAAATGCAATAAGCCAGTCACAAAGAGAAATACTGTATGATTCCATTTACACTGGTATTTAGAGTAATCAAAATCGTAGAGACAGGAAGAATAGTAATTACCAGGGGCTGGGGAGAGGGGAGAGTGGGGAGTTATTCTTTAACAAGTATAGAGTTTCAGTTTTGCAAGATGGAAAGAGTTCTGCGGATGGATGTTGCTGACAGTTGCACAACAGTGTGAATGTACTTCATGCCATTAAACTGTATACTTAAAAATGGTTCAGATGGCAAATGTTGGGTTATGTGTATTTTACCACAATAAAAAATAATTGAAAACTATAAAGCACAGGGGGAAAAAGTACTTTAGACCTCAGTTTTCTGTGTTTAAAAAAAAAAAAAAGGAAAAAATATCAATTTCTGGGCATTTCAAGATAATAGAAGCATATAAGAACATCAGTTAGCACTTGACAGCTCAGAAAGTGTATCATGTTCGTTTTCTTGTTTAAAATCCAGTCACTCTGTGGCATAGGTACTGTTACCACTCTCTTCTAGCAGGGAAACTGAGGTTCAGATCATTTAAAGAAGTTGCCCAAAGTCACCCAGTTCTCACTGCCTGCAAAACCAATGTCTTCCCCACTGTACAAAGAATAAGGCCAACAAAAAATTGTCCATATTAAAATTGGAAATCTTCAAGTATATGAGAAGGGACCCAAGTTCCCTTCTAGCAGTTTTGAGATTCCTAAGTTAGGAAATCCACCTCATAGAGTGAAAGAATTGCTTAAGGTTAAACTGTCAGCGTATTATTAAAAAAGGAAAATTACTGTTCCCAAAATCATTCTATGTTTAATAAATTTGGAGGCTCACCAAGTGAGTTTTAGTAGAACCCACATATAGCTAGATTGATGATAATATTGGAATATTAATTTTTTTTAAAGTAGTTACCATAACTAGCACTGATATCGCTTACTATGAACCAGGCAGTGTTCTAAGTGCCTTTCATAGATTACCTGGATTAATTCACACAACAGCTCTTCAAGTAGATCCTATAATTATTCCCATTTACAAATAGAGACATTTAGGCACAGATTAAGAAACATATCCAAAGTCACACAGCTAGTAATGGGCCAAGCTGCGATTCAAATCCAGGCTTCAGAGTCCACCTTTCAAAGCTGTATTTGGCCCCATCACAGCTCTTGAGTTATCATAATACTTAAGAAAGAAATGCTTGGGGGATGGGGGAAACTTTTATTAATCTATTTAGCTCTGCATATTTATAAGGAGAAGTTCCAGGGTTATTCTTGCAGTCTCTCTCCCCCAAATCACAAGCTTGCACCAAAGCTCCCTCATGAGGACTTCCTTTCAGAGCACCACAGAATCTATCAAGACATGCTAACCTGGTCTCATCAACCCCTCAACCTATGTCAGCTCCTCCCAAGCAAGAACAGTATGGACAAAGTCGCAAGTCTTCAAGTATAATTTGTCTTAGCTACTCTTATCTCTTTCAGGATTGGGCTGCTCTGCCATCTGACTCATGGCCAACATCAAGTTCTAACAGTTCTCCCCTGAAGAATCAGCTAGAGAGTACAGGGAGGGCAGAGTCCACTATGGGATGCCTAAAGGCAAAGCATAGCTGTAGGAATGGCATTAGTCACGTTTTCATGGGGTTTTACTCCCAAATAAAGCAGTCTGCAAAGGAAATGTAGGTGTGGAATCCGCAAAGGGTAATTACATGTTTAGTCCTGTCCCTGGTCAGGCTGTGGTTTTAAACCAGTCGTCAAACCTGCAGCTAGTCATATATATAAATGTTTATTGAAGCTGGGGATGTGAAAGGCCCTGTGTTAAACCTGAGCCTTTTAGTACATTACAGTGAAGGCTTTGAGTTCAGACAGACCTGAGTTTGAATTTTAGCCCTGCCAATTTTTAGCTACCCTATTTTAGATATGCCTCTCCAAGCAAATGTCTTTGCTTCTAAAATGAAGATAACACCCCATATAAGTTAGAGGTAATAGAAATAATAATATCCATTGCTCAGGACGCTATAAGGATTCAAAAAATGGGAGTGTATGTGCAAAACCATAACAGATATATTGCCATTCTAAATGTAAGGGGAAGCTGCATAACAGTTTGTCTGCGATCATTCAGTGTATTCATTTGTCTCCCACAGATATTATGACAAGAAATATCAAGTATTCCTGAAGCTGGTTGAACACCAGAAGGAGTATGCAGCAATCATGAAAGGGGACTGACAAAGCTTACAGGTCCAATGCCAGAAGGTTCTGAGTTATTGCATCAGGGACTCTGTCATTTCATCTTATATTCAAGACCCTTTAGGTATCATTTTATCATTTCTGTATTGTCTTTTAATAAAGAAACAAAGACATGTGTAACTAGAACTAGAGGCCTCCATTTCAACATACTACCATTTCAAAATAACAAAACATGATGGCTAAAAGCCATCAGGTGGCAGTTTCCACAGGCCCTATCATGGAGACAGACATCTCACATGGGATCTCCGATGGGACTTGACCTTGGGGATCATTCAGTCCAGGAGAAACTTATATTTGTTAATTGATTCAAGGTCATCCATTAAATGAAAGGCTTATAGTGATTTAGGTAGGACATCTAATGTTTATTCTATAGGGACTAAAAGCTTGTTGTTAGCTTTTCATTTGAAAATACTTTCAAACTTACAGAAAAGATACAAGAATAGGAATTATACAAAGAACACTCCAGTATCTAACTTTTACCTTTTAGCATTTACCTCATTTGCTTTATTATATTTGTACATTCTCCATGTGTATGTAAGTATATACACATAAATTTTTATGAGTCCTTTGAGGGTAAATTTCAGTAGACTTAACTTTTATATAGCACTTTTATTTAAGCTGCCGTTCATATTCCGGTTTTGTCAGTAACTCAATAACATCCTTTATGGTGTTTTTTTTCTTCTTCCTGTACAGGATACAGTCTAGAATCAGATATTGCATTTAATTGCAAAATTGTCATCTTGCAGTCATCATATTAAAGATAGGTACAGGCAGGAATCATCAATGGATCCAAGAGAGAATTTTGATGAGTAATAGGATGTATGCATGCATGTTCTTAAAATGTTTCTTAGTTACAGGAGGAAAAAGAATGTTAACTATACAGGGAAGAAATAGGACAACACCTTCTTGGGTGATCGAAATTAACTTCAGGTGGGCAGATGGACATCATGTGCCTCCAGATGTGATAGCCTGAGAAGGACACAGCATCATTCTGGCTGGAGATATATAACCTGAATCTAAGCTAAAGAAACATCAGACAAACTCAAAATGGGCAGCATTCTATTTTTTTTAATGAATTATATATTCTTCAAAAATGTCTATGTTATAAAGAAAATGCAAGGCTATGGAAAGTTTCCAGATTAAAGGAAACTAATGAAACATGATGGCTAAAAGCTTTTGATATAGACAGGTGTTTGAAAAAAAAAGTTGCTTTAGCTTTTACCATAACGTACACATAAACACACACAGACAGACACATGTGTACATATACACACTCACCATTTCAGACCCAAGAGTAACTGCTAATGTTGATTCTAAGTCTGTCGTTGCTCAGATGAGTTTGGGTAGAGGATATATGAGACTTTAGCAACATAAGTCAGCAGGTAGAAAAGAAAAAGCCAATACATCCCAGTCAACAAACATCTTTTGGAATACTTATTCTGTGCCAGGTATTGTGCTGAGCACTGGGGTACAGGGATAAATAAAACATGGTCTCTGCCCTCAGGGAGTTCCCAGTCTAATGAGAAATGGAGACAAGCAAATCGATCACAGCACATCTAAAAGGAGGCACCTGCTGCCGTGGAGCACATCAAGCAGTTAGAAAAAGAGGAAGCAGTGAGCAGTGAAGGGTTGACAGATGGGAAGAAAAGCAATATGGTGTAAAGGCTGTGAGTCCTGGCTTTACCTCTTCCTATTTATGTGACTTAGACAAAGGTTCTTAATCTTCCTAAACCTCGGTTTCCTCATTTTGAAAATGTAGATTATTAATAGTACCTACTTTATAGGAGTCTAATGAGGAATAAATGAGATAGTACTTTTAAGCACTTAGCTCAGTTGTCTGGACCATGCTTATCTTTTTGCATGGCCTGATACTTAGAAGATGCTCGGAATAATTACGATAAAAATTACTGAGTAGGATGACCACACCCAGTTACAAAGGCCACCTCTACAATAGTATTGAACAATATATAAAGGATAACAGAGATCTTGGGCTGGGCATGGTCTAGGGTGAAGGTGGGTGTGGTGTCTAATCCATTAGATGTAGCAGCAGGAGGAAGCCTAATTTGTTCACCTGCACCCCAGCCAGAGCTTGGTCTGGGGATAAGAAGGATTGGGCACCTCAAAGGAGAAGTCAGGTAAAGTGTGAGCTAGGCAAGATGTCAGGATGGTCAGACAGGTTTAAGGCGCTAAGGCTGATCAGCACTGACTCAGAACCTGAGGCAGGCCTGGGCCTGCTCATGCAAAGCAGTGGTGAATGCGGTAGTTGTGCAAGGCTGAGTACACAGAGGTAGAGAATGAATAATTACCAACCATTTTCCAAGTCCTTCCAGTATGTTCTTTCTCTCCAGTCCCCACTACAGCACTGAGAGGCAGCGTTAACCTGCATGTTCCAGTTGGGAAAGCTGAGACACGGAAAATATAAACAACCTTCCCAGAGTCTCTCAGGTGATAGTAGAGACAGGATTCCAATCCAGATCTGTCTGGGTTCAAAGCTTTGGGAGTTGCCCCTTTTTAACAGAGAGGAATGTGTTCCACCAACCACTCTTTAATTACAGTGCTCATGCTGTGGGTGATCAGCCCTGGATGCTGGTCATTCTCTCAGGCAACTCATATCCAAACCAAACCTCACTTAGGGTTCTCTCCGCTTAAGAGAAAAAGGAAAACAGGTACAAATGAGGCAAAGAACATGGGAACTCTGGAAATCTTCTGGCATCTCAACAGTCAGAAGCAGCCTGGAAGAAGAACTGAAAGATCTCGTGCAAGATACTAAACCTCTAGGCCTCAGTCTCCCCCTATGTCAATGGGATATCCTGCTATCTTCCTCCTATGGTTGGTGGTAAAGATTCATGGAAAGAACTGTAGGTAAAAGCCCTAGCACAATGCCTTGCAGATAATAGGCACTACATAAAATTTTTTTTTTACAGTGTTCTCTTTGTACCACCTGGCTAGAGGGCTAATGCCTAAGAAAGTAATTCTAGTTCCTACTATAAAGCCAGTACTTTAGGAAAATGTAAATGTCTCTATGGATTTTTATAACCATGTGTAGCTCGATAAAAATTTTACTGACTCCAGTGCTCACCTTCTTGCACTGGGAAACTTTATTTAATGCACACATGTAAAGTATAAGTATATTTAGCTTTTATGAATAAGAATTACAGTGTGTCCAGAGTGGTTTGTAGGATTTTTGTTTTGTTTTGTTGCCTACTTTTCTTTCAAGTTGAAGCCAGCCTTGCTTAGCAAAGCATTTTGCCAAGGAACACCTTACAGTTTTTAGTTTTGACGAAAAATGCTTCCCATGTGTGAAGAACGTAAATGTGGCTTTCAGAAGAGCCAAAGAGAACAAAAGATGAGAGAGGGAATTGGGGAAGAAAAGACAAGGATGACAGAATGACATGTTGCAGAGCTGCCGTAAACTACAGGACCCAATGTCAGAGTTTGCTGGACTCCAAATGAGTCCCCTGGAAGGGATTCCCTTCTGTGGGAAGATTCAGACTGGGAGGTTGGTCTTTACGTACAGAGCACAGTCTATGTTCTTGCCAGTTGCATTAAAGAGTGAAGGGCAAAGGAGTGTAACTTCCAAGAAGAGGAGTAAAAGCTCTGTGGGACATCCCTGGATACATCCAGCTTTGAGGAGGTGGCAAATTGGCAGGTAAGGGTAACAAGCAGGAACATAAAGGTCTTAATGTTAATGCAGTCCTCTCTGACAGGCCTGAACATAACCAAGTCTCTTCCGTTTACTTATTTATCCCCCGTCCCTGGCCTGTGAGCTCTTGCAGGGCACTGACCGTCTTAGGGCCTGTGTTCTCTGTACCTCAACAGTTCCTGGCATCCGTGGGTGCTCAAAAAAAATATATACAAACACAAGACATTTTCTGCACATAGAAGACTGGTAGAACTAAAAATATCTCAAAAATACCTCACTTTTCAAGTCAGTCTGTCATACATGTTAATGTGCCTTAATTTAAGCAACATATAAAACTTTAAAATGTGACATGACCATTAAGGGTTAAAAAATTATGCTTTATACCTAATGACTTGCTTTTAGTTTTTTTATTGCACACGCACACACGTACATACACAAATGCATAATCACACACCTTATTTGGGGTTATAGCTCAAGCTCAGAAACGTTTTGTGAGTTTTCAGTGTTATTACAGACCATTTCTTGTATGATCTCTTATGGGAAATCAACTGGGTTGTAGTCCAGAAATGCCCATTGTTCACTGGGCTGCAGGACACATGCTTTCAGAATCTAAGAGCATAGTTACTAATAATTACCGTCAAAGGATTTAAAATGAAGGACATTGTCACTAAACAAGAAACTAATGACTGAGCAGAGCTGCGTAATGTAATTAAACTTAAGATGGGCCTTCTGATGAACTACAGAAGAATCGTTGTACTATCTAGTGTCTCCATAAATGCACTTAACATCTATTGGCAGTAATAAGAGGGGGTCTTGAGTATAAAAAGCTTTCCTTTTCCAATTTCTAGAGGGAGAACCTAAAAAGAAAAAGTATATTTTTAAAAAGGATGTTTTTGTAGTACTTATGAATATTTGATAATTACATAAAGTCTGTAAAATAAAAGTAACTTAAATAAAAAAAAGATTACTTGCTAATAAATTCAGGTTTCTCAATTTATCATTAATTCACCAATTAATCTTATGATCAGTTTCCATCCATCCACACTGAAAATCATTTAAAATCACATATTAGAATAAATGCTTCTAAAGACCTAATTTTCATTTGCTTAAGTCATGCCTGAAGTCTTGATTAAAAGTTTTCTTATTAAAATCTAGGGTGAGCTTGGCTCCCTGATGTATAATTTTAATACATATGAAATGGAAAATGTTTTATTTATTAATCTCTGGTATTTAGGCAAAGTCAGTAATGATGTCTTCCATTTGAAAACTTCTTTACAATTTCCATAGTGATTGTACATGCATTATCTCAGCTGTTCCTGATAATAAATTGGTGAAGTAGGCCTGACAAGGGTTGGGATCGCATTTTACAAACACAAAAACCATGGATCCAAGAGTTTAAGTAAATGGCCCACGATAGTGTAACTGGAACACAACACGGAGGCAGGACCACTCTGTTGCTTCTTGCTAAATAAATTCAATTAGCTTATTTATGTAACAGAGGATGACTCATTAGTTTGCTAATTGCTCTCTCCTCCATGGTACCCCTCTCTAGCAGATACATAAATATCTAAGAGGCTCCTTCTGATGCTCATTGGTTGATCAGAATATTGTGTTATTTCTATTGGCAAGCAGAGAGATAAAGTGAGAAAGCCTTGAGCAATGGAGTCAATAGGCCCTGCCTTCAGCTCACAGCTTCACTGCTTACTAATCAACACAGTTATGAACTCATGTAAGCTAGTTAGCCTATGAGTGTCTGTTCCTTATCTAGAAAGTGAGTGAAAAGAAAATCGGCCTCATGGCCAATGTGAGAAATAAATGGGATGTTTCAAGGTGCCTGGCACAGTGCCTGATATAAAATAGAAGTGTAACAGGTAATTGGTTTTTCTCCTAAACTAATCCATTTTTACATTACAGAATTTCTAGAAGCATTGCTTCCAGTCAAGTTGGACAACTTCATATCCAGTTTCCATAGGTAAAACGTCTGTGTTGGTTGTCAATGACAACCAACCATCATTGGGCTCTTAATATGTCAAGAGTGCTGGAATAGTTCCCGTTGATATATAATAGGGCCAACATCTAGTTGAGGAGAGAGGGGACATATGTAGAAAGAGATTTAACAACCATAGAAATCTCCAGCTAGGTGCCCAATATGATAATAACCTATGCAAAAGGTTTATCTATCTGCACTCAGTTGCTAGGTGCTACAGGGGGTCCGAGGATGCCAGTAACAAGTCTGTCAGGAAAGACTCATCTGGAAATGATGAAAGCTGAAACATGTACAGTTCTGCTAAACTGTAGGTACTAAAGGTCTTTCGCCTGAAGATTCAACTCTGTTCCATCCCTGGGGTAAACCAGGCTGAGGCAGGCCATATATAACCAGTTTAGACCAGGCCCAATTCTTCCCCAGCCAGTGAATCTAGAATTCATCTTTCTGTCATTAGCCCCTAGGCACCAGGAACTCACTAAATCACAGGCTTCTTCCCTAAAATACAACATATTTGTCCAATCTGGCATG